AAAGAATTGATACTATACTCTGAAAGGTGTTGCACTTTCTTCTATGATGTTCATTGATATAAATTAATCCTTTGGAAACTTGCATCTACTTTGATTAAAAGTGGATTCTCAAAATACAAATTATATTAATATAACAACTTCATGCATAAGGTAAAAACTTGATTATAAATATTAATTTCACTACCAACATGTAAGCATCACACTTCGGCTGGCAGTTTCACTATACTACCAGATATGTATTGATAGCAGTTCAACATGCAAAACTGTTGATCAAAAGAAAGATTTATGTGCCTATCTCTTATCCACGAAACAAAGACAGTTAAGTTGTAATATGTCTAACAAATTAGGGTGAGAAGTCTGATGAAAAGAGTAAAAAAAAATTGTTTTATTTGGAAATTTTCATGTAAAAGTCTTCAAAAATACTGTAATTTATTTCAAGTGCACTTTTAGATGGCCTAGCATGGGACTGCTCGGCTTGCAACCTGTGGATTGCGATAGATCCTGTCGTCTAACATACTCGCTCCTTTAGCCGTTGGGATGTTATACTGTAATGTCAGTTCCACTTTTCGTTGTTAAAAGTTTTTGGTTTGAATTTTGCGCAAAGCTACACGAGGGCTATCTGCGCTAGTTATCCCTAATTTAGCAGTGTAAGACTAGAGGGAAGGCAGCTAGTAATCACCAACTCCTGGGCTACTCTTTTACCAACGAATAGTGGGATTGACCGCACATTATAACACTCTCACAGCTGAAAGGGCGAGCATGTTTGGTGTGATGGGGATTTGAATCCGCGATCCTAAGTTTGCGAGTCAAGCGCCCTAACCACCTTGCCATGTCGGGGCATTGTTAAAATAATAGCCCAAGAGTTGGCAGTGTTGACTACTTACCTTTCATTTAGTCTATCACTTCTAAATTAGGGACAGTTAGCACAGATAGTCGTTGAATAGCTTTGTGTGAAATTCCAAAAACAAACAAACACAAATTTTAGCCCTCAGGGCATGCCGTTACATATGCGCCCCCTGGTGAATTCCGTGGTAATTCACTCCTGCAGATGTTTTTTCAAGCCACCTCTACCCATGGTTAAACAAAAGTTACAACCTGGTATTGGTGAATACGTATGATCGTTCACGTGATTTTCAGCAACCAATGGTAAGGTGCACGTGGAGCAACTTATTGTCTGACAGTTTTTTCACAACATACCCTGGCTGCAATACAGTAACCTACATTCTCTTGTAAAAGACTTCAAGAATTTTCACTAAGTGCTTCATTCATTTTTTTTTTCCTCGTCAAGTTTCCTTTTTTTTTTTGGAGTTAGAAGAAATGTCAAATAGCGATCTACTGAAGCTTTCCTCATTGAAAACATCACAGTTTGCAGAGTTGTAGGGTCTGATGTTATTTTTGACTCGAAAACACAAACTTTTAAAGATCATTGAAGCAGTTGAGTGTTTGGGTTGCCACCTGCTGAAACTATAGTTATTAGCAACTTCGTGGTCCTGTGGCAGTAATATTTGTTGACAAGTAACGACCAGAATTAATAAACAATACACATTGTCTAATTCCATTCCTCTATTCTCTTGTTATTATTTACTAACAAGAGCTGTCAGAAAGATTGCATACACCCGCTCCGCCAATCCTTTTCGACATTGCATGCGTTTATATTGGATAACGGCAAATTCGACCTTCGAAAACTCGGAAGATCCTTCTGAGATCCTGAATGATAATCGATCAGGATCATTTTTTGTAATATGATGGAGTCTTAACCTGAATGTGGCCATGAAATTTGGTACAAATCCGATCACACGTTACAAATTTATCAACCCAAAACCGCGAAAATGCCCAATTTCTCCATTATATATATATAAAAAAAAAATGCTTCAAAATGATCCAGAATCCTGATCAACTTTGGGGAGGACTGTCCCATACTGACTTTCCATCTTGTGTAAAATTTTCGTGGAGATCAGTTTATTAGTTTTGAGATACGCGCGTGGAAATACAGACACACACACGGATACAATTGCACTACCCTTGCCCCCCCCGGGGGGGGGCGAGAGTAACTGTGTTACAACCTATAAACTGACTCACGATTTTACCATCACATTGGCTCATCTTAGTACTTTTACAGCACGACCAACTCTGTTATTTTTAATTTCATGTCACGTGTGGGTATACTACCATCTTGAAAGTGATTGGTCTTGTGTTTCAGGAAATGTTTCGTTTTTTTTTTTTTGTTGTTGTTGTTGTTGGAAGGCGATGAAACAACCAAGACGCCATGTGGCTGTTTGGTAATTGCAAGAACGCTTTGTGGATGTAACGGCGCAGGTACAAAACAAAAATCAATTTTATTGTGTAGCATTTCAGTACACAACCAAAAACCAGTTGTGGTCGTTTTAATACAGCCACAATCGCCCCAGAAAAGTGCTTCGTTTCGTTTACAGGTCAATATTTAGAGAACCATAAGGCCCTGTGGTAATTTTTTCACAGTGAGTGGTTTCGGTCTTGGAACTTAACAGATATAAAGGCTAATTATGCCTTAGGAAGAGTGAAAATGGTTAAATACGATAGGGAAAAAATGGGCATATATATATATATTAACAAATCCTATAGACTTCAAGGTTTTACCATTTATGGCTTTTCATCATTAATAATTACAGCTGAAGTTTTTATACACTTTATTTTTAGATCTTATATAAAAATAGAGAAATAAAATGAACCATATTGTCCATTAAAAGTTGGATT